GACACAGGTATAATAATTTCATCCCAGTGAATTTGTTTGAAAAACTTTCAATATAATATATATAAAAAATTTGTTTCCATCTTTCAGAAAGTCGCAGAATGTGACATACGTGGTTGTGAAAGATAAGGGTGGTTGTTTTGTTGGTGATTATTGAGTTGTTGATGTTGTATTGACGTTGACCTTCGTACTATCCGGTACCATCTATTCATTTTCTGTGATCTATCTCACAAGGTGGTGGAATATATCCCAGTGCATTTTTTAGTATGAACTTTTAACAGAATATAAATTTAAAATTTGTTTCCTTCTTCCAGAAAGTCCCAGAATGTGACGTGCGTTCGTTACGAAAATTGAAGGTAGTTGTTTTATTGATGATTGTTGAGTTGTTATTGTTGTATTGACGTTGCCCTTCATACCATCTGGTTAGGTTAGGTCCAAAGTGAGTGGGTCTATTCGACCCCCACCGCAATCCACAAGGATTTATTGTGGCTCACGCCTATACACACTCGACCAAACAAACCCAGCTTCTCAACGAAGTCGAGTGGTTTGTTTGAATAGTGATCTTTCAGGTCAGATGGTAAGAGTACGGCTCTGCCGAACTGTGAAAACCTGATTCGGTCTCGAGCGGAGCAGGCACAAAGTATATGCTCGGCTGTTTCATCGTTGATGAGGTAATCGGATAGTCAAGGTGCAAGATTCCCACCTTGATACCTGCAACAACGTTCTCATATGAGCGTTTTTGCACGTCAGTTACACCTGACGATGCCTTAGATTCAACAGTGCAGGGCTTTTTCGCCTCTGGTTTTAGTGAATCATCACTTGAGCGCAAATGTTTGCTAACCTGCTCATGGGGGGTTTGTTTCTCCACCTGAGACAGATTCTGCGTATGAGGCTCAAGAATTTGGTGCAAGGCGGTTTCATAGAATCAGTTATTGAATCAGGAGTTGGAGAGTTGAAAAGTTCTTGCTTCTGATCTGAATTTACAGGGAGGTCAGTTGGAGTCGTAAGCTCTGCATCCATCTCCTCTGCAGACTCAGCGTCGGAAATGATTTTCAAGTTTACTCTGTCCATGAAAGCCTCACGAGTAGCTAGGGAAAGAAAGTCAATCACGGCAGAGCAGCAGATTACCGTGACAAGGCGATGCTATGACGAGAGGACGCCCGGTATCTGGAAGGTTCCGTAGAGGCAGCTGAAAGACTCAGTGTCATTCATCCTCTCAGCATGGATACGCACACCTTATTAGTATCAAACCATCGTTGGGATGCCATTCAGTTAGGGAATAACAGAACCACAAGTGATTTTGTCAGCTACGCTGATGCCTGCTTCGGATGCCTGCTTCCACGTAGCCTTGTATCCAGCGGGGCACCCGATGGCCAGTTTGTTCAATCTCCACATCCCAAGCCAATACACTCGCCAAAAATAGCATGCACAGTGGTTTAGACAGTGAAAGATGAACAAGTCAGTCAACCCTTCGTACCATCTGGTACCATATGTTCATTTTCTGTAATAGTTTTCGAACAATCTCCTTACTTCAACATTTCGTAGACCAAAATCTGCCTCTATCAGAGAAAAACAGTTTCTTCAACAGTAGCATTTGATTTTCAAATTCCTTCGATAAGAGTCAAGAAGTTCCTAATTCTCAACACGTGAACAAGGCGGTAAGATAGGGCCCAGTGCCTTTTTTTGTAAAAACTTCCAACATAATATATAATAAATGAAGCAAATGAACTTCAAACATTCAAGCCAGTCTCGATATACCTACACAGTAGGTTTAATGGACTGACGCCTATCAGAAAACAACTACTCCCCTGGCTAATACCACGAAGGGCGTTGAATTATACCCGACAGGCGTCAGTGCAGGAATCTTCACAGAAAATTTCCTGCATATGCAATTGCTGAAAGAGTCGACCTTCAATTCTGGAACAGGCACACTTGCAGACCGGTTTCGGGCTTATTAGCCACTCATCAGTGCAAGATAGTGACCATCATCGACCTAAAGTCAATGATATTCCACAATTGAAAATCGGAATTCTTTCAGAGTATTTCATTCCTCTTCCGAAGTTGGAGCGAACATCAAAAATGTCACTCCATCTAGTGGACGAGGAACTACAATGTCAAGGCCACATACATAATTTTGATTACTTGTCGATTTTTTCAACTGTAACATTGTTGCAAAATGAGACGCTACGCAACTCACAACTTTTTTTCAGTTTTGACTACGTTTTGTTCCAAAGAAATATTCTATAAGAAAGCACCATATTAAGTGCGTGTTTCTCTACAAAATCCAAGTAGGGATATTGAAACACCTTTTGAATATATCTCATTATGTTATGTGAACTTTAATCAATGTTTATATTTCTAAGGAACCAAGTTAAATCTTTTCAAATGTGTGCATATCCAAAATATTACTGGAGTTTTTTCCCAACACCAAACCGTTATTTTAACACTTCGACACGTGTTTCGATCACCAAGTGATCATCTTTAAAAGGAAGATCAAACCTCTTGAAGATGATCACTTGGTGATCGAAACACGTATCGAGGTCTTAAAATAACGGTTTGGTGTTGGGAAAAATAACTCCAGTAGGTAATATTAATTGTGAGAGTATTAATTTGAGTTCAATTTACAGCTCCAATGCATTTTATCGCTGTAAAATTCCAAAATTTGCCTGACCTTCAACACTTTCATCGTTTTCGGGTATTGAGAGAGATGAAGATTTCAATAAATTATTTCGTTACCCTCTGCAATGTAGATGCAGGCCGCCAATGCGCTACAAGCGGCAACAATCCGAGAACATCTTTTTTGAATAACGTCTTCGAGTCATTTGATTTATCAGCTCGACCCTTATCGGGCATGTCCTATCTGCGGTCGTGAATGATGAAGACAAATTTAATATCTAATTTTTGTGCGCCGGCAACCTGTTTGCATTCTTTTCGGGGGAAATAAAAAATTAAGGAAACAGATTCGACGGTTTCCCAGAAAAACAACGGCGCCACGTTCTTTGTAATCATGGGTGCCCAACAGGTGACCCCTCCAGGTTACGTAATAAAAATTCCAGACCTGTCTGAGAGAGCAGATGACTGAGTTCCTCTGGGAAATGTTTCCTTTACATTTGTCCACATATGTTTATAGAAGCTTAGTGATTTTGATTCTTTTCACAAAATAAGCGACTATTACAAAGAAAACGAGAGAAAGAAAGGTCAAGTATACCAAAAGTGCCCCACACTGCTCTCTCAATGAGAAACTGAAAATACTTTGCAGTAAAACTGTCTATTTCATCTCCTGAAGATGCCAACTTAATTAATGAAACGCGTACCGAAAAGAGTGTTGCATTTCTCGTGTTTGGGAAAGTGCTTCTTTTTGAAAGGCTTTTTCAGGCATGTTTGATACTAACAACATGGTAACTCGATAAATCAAAAGATATCACTGATTTCCTCAACTCCTGTGTTGATGTATAATCAAAGGAATAAATATAGTTAAAGAAAACTGAAAAACATGCTTGTAAAAAACATCGAACTAAAAAGTTGTACAAAAGTTGTACAAAAGGTGTACAATTTACGATAAAGTTTTCATTGTTGAAATCCATATTCAGGTTTGCTTTCAAATAATCGAATTAGTTTTTAAAATGTATCTTTCGTTAAAACTTTTTTCTGTACTGAGTCATGGGTAATTGTAAATATTCAAATATTTCATCTGTAGTACCTACAAAATTTAGCTAACACTTATAATTCTTAAAATATGTTTTTCATTTTGAACAACCTATCAAGTAGGTTACGTATGGCATCTGTCCGCGAATAGCTCAAGCAATAATTGATAGTTACGTACAGCGCCATCTGCCCGCGAATAGATCAAGCAATAATGCCGATAATTCTATGAAGACAGATCCAGAGCTTGAGAGTTACAAACAAACATACATACAAACAAACATACATACATAAATACAGGTGAAGCTAATAAAAAGCGTGTAATGTAAAAAACAAACTGATGGCTCAGTGATTGAAAATGTTCATAATTTACTCACCCCATTCTAGATGGCCATAAGTGGATGGGCATGAAAAATAAAAAGAAAAAATTAGAAAATTATTCATTGTGCATGATAACAATACACAAACCCTTCTCTGAGGAGCTGATGGTTATATTAACAATATTTGTGAATTCTGAATGAAAACAAGATCTAGAGAAAACTAATCCACTGAACGCAACAACAGCGTTTTATTCTAGAAGGTGTCTTTCTATAGAATCAATATTTTAGAAAACACAGAGATTTCGAAAAGTAAGTTTATTCTCGTTTTCGAAACCAAACTGGAGATACAAAAGTTTCACTTCGTCACTGAATGTCAAGAAATCGAAATATTAAAAGCTCCTCATAAGGTTAGATTAGATTAGGTCCAAAGTGAGTGGGTCTACTGGAACCTCCACCGCAAGGGTTTATTGTGGCTCACTCCTATTCCCACTCGACCAAATAAACTCAGTTTCTGAACGAAGCCGATAACATTCTATGTTAAGTGGTCTTTCAGATCAGATGGTAAAAGTACGACTCTGCCGAACTCTAAAATCCTGATTCGGTCTTCAGCGGGGCAGACACAAAGTATGTGCTCTGCTCTTCAATTATTTTCCAAACAGAGGCGACACATACACAGAGGCGACAGTCCGAGTCTAACAGTGACCTCTAAGAAGGCCTGTTTAGAGATCGTAGGGTGAATAAACGCCTTGGAGTGAGCCATTCCTGGAAGATTTTACCAGAAGTCCATAAATTTTCTTGCTATCTTTGTTTGGCAAAGCCTAAAGCGGTGCCAATGACAGGTTCTGGTCCAATGAAGCTGCTTGCAGCACTCTCCTTTGCAAGGGAGCCACTATTACAGGCCATTATTGCCAGGAATCCAGACCAGAGACTATCTGTTGAGTGTTCCTATCGAGGAGAGTCATTTTTGGCAATTTGCTACCTATTAAGATGTTGCCCGGTAGGAGCCAAGAGCTTCCAACACCGTTTAACTGTCCGAGAATATTTTTATTGACTTGTGTATGAGATTAAATTCTTCCCATCTTTCCGCACACAGTTCAGTAGCATATATTTCCGCTTGAAATACAGTCGCATATGTTCCTAGGCAGGTAGATATCTCTGTCCTGGGTCTGCCACTAAAACACCTACACCAGAACCTTAAATTGTTTCTGTTCCATCTGTGAGTCCATCATACGGTACTTGGTATGCTGCTAGAAAGCTACATTTTTTAAAATGAAATGTCATTTCAATAATCTTTTTGAATTTAGATACGGGAATTTAATACTTGTTTTTTAGATAGTTCAAACATGTTTGCTAATGAAAGATAAGAAAGACTTTGGGCCAATACTGGATTGTAATTAAATGACTTAGTTTACAATTTGAGAAAATATTATCAATTATAATTGTACAACTTACCGTTTTTCCATTTACATCAACCTTGTACTTCCCGGCAAAGATTTTTATGATGTCTGCGTTCCCATATTTGGCACCCCAATGAAGAACAGTCTGTTGGAAGAGCATTCATATAAGTATGTAATATCAGTCAAATCAATTATGAACTAGTATATAGCATATACTTCTTCAAATGACTAAAGCGTACTTTCATTTTGAGAATCGACTTCAGTTCAGTGTGATATATTATCAGAAGAAGACATATGCATTCACGATAAGATAAAATAGTTACTGCTTTGAATGGAATAACTTTTGAGATATACTTACGTACTGATAGTTGTTCCATACCAGTGGAGGAGGAAGACAAAACATGAAATAGAAATTAAAATATGTAAGACACAGGAAATTAAAGCAATGCATCAATTTCAGAAATGAATGTAGATTCTGAAGAAATATTAGCAAGATTTAAATATACAAGTAGATATAAACTTTAGATAAGTGGAATTGAACTCTTTAGTGTTGGCTGAAATGAAGAGGATGGCTCCCATTCGCAAATTTGGCTTCCAGTAACTACTGACCGTTCGCAGACCTCAAAAAAGTGCTCACCGGTAAAAAATTTCGCTAGATTAAAGAGGTTACTGCAGAAACTGAGGCCTTTTCTGAGGCAAAAGATAAACCGTTGCATAAAAGTGGCATTGAAATGTTGTCTCCAGGAATAACGAAACTATATCTACGACTTTTTTCAGTTCAGCGGATTATAATAATAATAATAATAATACGTCTTTATTCACCATAAAAATACAAATGGAAATGGACAAAAATAAAATAAAACAGTATACAGGAATAATAACAAAAACAAAGAAAAAAACTTCCACTATTTGGTGAATAGGCGGAGTATCAGCCAAGGCTGTTTTTCAACTCAACCTATACTCAAACTATAAATCAATAATATAGACAAAGTCGTGTTAACAATATCAAAAAATTTTAGTTTGCTTTATTTCAGAAAATTCATTTTAGAAATGCCAAGGTCGGGAACGGACAAGAGGCTAATGAGATAAATAAGTTTTCGGTCTTTTTTTAAAGTTCACGATAGTGTATGATTGAAATTCGCAGGGTAGTTGATTATGATATTTGGGTGCATTATACGAGAAGCAGCGGGTGAAGATGGAAGATTTGTGTTTGGGGATGACTAGAACTGAACTGTTCCTTGCAGTAAAGCTGTTAATCGTGGAGAATGTTTTAAGCTTCTTCAGTAAGTAATCAGGTTGTCGAGTTATCAAAACTTCATGTGTGTTGGTAAGAAGGTGTAGAGTTCTAAGTTTCTCAACACTTAACCTTCCTGATTCTTGCATTGCTGGGGATATGGTCATATTTCCGAATACCAAACGAGAAACCAAACTGAATACGCTGTAGTCGGAGAGCATCTGATTGTTTTGAAGCAGGTCCATAAATACTGTCGCAATAGGACATAATCATAGACTCGCATAGTCTAAGTTTTAAGTTTGTGTTGAGCAAATCACGATTATAAAAATGCTGTTATAAGAAGATTGGTACCAGATAGCTGACATGTTTAGTGAAGCGAAGATCCAGATCAAACCACAATTCTAAATTTTTTATCTCGTCCACGGAGGGAAGTATATCGTTTTCGATGCGAACTTGAAAGGTAGAGTTGGTGAGCTCTCTGTTCTTCTTAGCTCCAAACATCATTATTGCAGATTTGTGAGAATTGAGCTTGAGCTTATGGGCAGTAGAAATGTCAAAGATGGCTTGGAGATCGTTATTAATATGCGACATAGCAGATGTAGACTCGCCAGGCGAAAAAGAGAAATATAACTGCGTATCGTCTGCATAGTGATGTATATTGCATTTTGTCACGGACAGATAAAAGTCACAAATATACAAGCTAAAAAGCAAGGGCCCAAGGATAGATCCTTGTGGCACTTCCTTTAATACCGGCAGAGCATCTGAAATAACTCCATCCACAACAACTCTTTGAGTACGTTTCTTCAGATAGTTTTCTAAGAGAGACACTGCTTTCTGAGAAAAACCGAAGTGGACAAGTTTATCACACAATATCTCATGATCTAAAGTGTCAAATGCCTTGCTGTAATCTAGAAGTATCAAACAGGTCAAATTTTGTTCATCTGCAGCTTGAAAAATATCGTCTGTAATTGATAGAAGAGCCGTGGTGGTCTGAGGTCTGAATCCTGATTGTACAAATGTTATGATATGATTTTCATTGACGTACTCATTAATCTGATTTTTCAGAATCGATTCCACTACTTTAGAGAGATACGGTACAATTGAAATTGGTCTTAGGTCAGAAAGGACAGTAGGTGAGTTACACTTAGCCAGAGGAATAACCAATCCATGGCAACAGTGAGATGAAATAAATTGATTGGGTGAAGAAATTACCTAGAAACAGATCCCTTTTGGAAGAGGGAATACCGGGAACCCCTCTTTGTTTGCCGTCAAATTATTTCATATGATCAACCACTGGTTAAATATACCAAGCAGGTGGTTCCGGTAAGTATAGAAACTTTTTAACCAGATTTCAAACTCATTTCTTTTGCAGATTCACTGAGAAACACTTGTTTGCGACTTCAGTTAGTTTTTGGGGGCCCCATGCAATAATCAAGTAGTCACAATCAATAAAATATCAGATTAGAAAGTAAAAGCACCTAAATGCTGGCTTTCGCCGCAGTAGGTCGGATGTCAATCTTGCTGAAGTGCCCATCAGTAGTAGAGGTGGGATGTTCTGCAAACAGGAAGATTTCATTTCAGAGCTAACAACCCGGGAGTGGGCATCGGGGGCATACCTTTGTCTGGTTTAAATGAAAAAAATGTTAACCATTTTTCAATAACTGTTGCCTGACCATTGAATATTGGCGTGACCACACATATGCAGTATAAAGTACTGAACCTTCCCAGCGGTGGTCTGAGCCAAATCCTCGCAAAAACCATCCACATTTGTTTTCACACTCGCCGATGGTCAGGCCCCTCGACAACGATGATTATTAAAGTGCCAAATTACCGATGGGGCAGCCGATTCCGGAGCGTATCTAAGTCGAGGGTGCCTGAAGGCTGCTACCGCGTACTCAGCGACTTGGACGGGTGCTCCAGGTGTCATTTGCATAATGACGATGATGATGACGATGATAACGTCCGAAGTGTCCCAGCTGCGCCGCCGCTGGCAATTAGTATCGCGCGTCTCGACCGACGGATCGTCATCAGATAGCCGATGATGAGACTGCGGAAGGAATTTGATAGTGACGGGTATAGTGCGGGCAAAGTTGTATTATGGTGAAAGAGTTGGTGAGATAATGGAATAAACTGAAATATAGACAATTTTAATGTTCATAGTGGAAGATGACTTCTTGTAACATTTCATTTTTCCACTTTATACTGTTTGCGAGGCAAACACAACGAAAACCTTTCATCTTGTAGATTGTAACAAGCAAATTATTCAAATTTTTACTACAGTACTCCGTAATCACAGCCAAAATCCTGTCTGCTATTGAAATTCCTTATTAACTATTTTGTTCATTTCATTTTTTGATTGATTCGGCCATTACTTGATGAGGATCCATAGTAATTTCGATTCCAGACGGTTTTACTATTAAGTTGGATAATCAAACTGAAAATTATAGAGCTTTAACGTATTTTGGACAAACAACGAAAAATGTATTTTCATTTTTGAGAAAACATGATATTCAAATTGCATATAGAAGAAGTAATACTTTGGGAAAGTTGGTTAAAAATAATAAAGACAAAACATCCAAATTCGAGAAATCAGGAATATATAAATTGAAGTGTGGAACGTGTTCTAATGTATATATTGGTCAACATTTAGGCAGAACATTTAGGAATTGAATCCAAGAACATCAAATGAGCTATGTAAATGAGACACATTAAAATCATCTTTTAGAAGAAAATCATATTTTTAACGAAGAGTTCGAAATTTGAAGACTTGAAACTGAATCATTTGGAATCAATGGAAATTAATAAACTTAAAAAAATAAGGATGTATTATTATTCACGTAGAAGTAAGGTAATATGCTTAAGGTAATCATAATTCAAGAGGCACCTCAGGTGTATCAGAATTGTCGAGGTTTAGGTAATTTGATGAAGCTAGTTTCAATTGTAGTTACCTGCGGTATATAAATGTTCAAGTCACTGTTGAAGAAGCTACTGTGTTAGCGAAACATGTCGTGATATATTTTTCAAATAAAATTTGTGGGGATCAAATCGTGAGGTATAGTTTATAATAATAATAATATGTTTATTTACCAGCAATAGAAAGAGTTTCCAACACAGCATATGCAATTTTAGATATTATTCAAAAAAAGAAAACAATCAATTAAATGAAATGTTCTAGATATAGATAATAAACATCGAGAGAACCTATTAAAACTCTAAGGTGCATGGGAATTCTTTACTTATTGTATTACCAAATAATCTTCGAATAGTATTTCAGTATGAGTATTTACAATATTTACAATAATTTGACCTGAGAAAAAATAAATGACAATGAGAGGAGAATCGAGAATTCAATTCATTTCTATAGCGATGAAAGTAGGGAAATTTTGATAAGTTATTTGTTATCAATTATATTTAATATTATTTCATGATCTATATTGAGGAGATACTTTCTGAATATATTTTTTATTAGTGGTATCGAGTTGACTTTCATTAGCTTATTTTTATGCATATCGTCTAGAAAGTTATAGAATTTTTTTGCTAAAAAACTGAAACAACGTTGTCCCACCGATTTTTTTGTTGTCTGTATTTGTACGAACATTTTTGCTTTGTTTTTTGTAGTATAACTATGCTCTAACTGTTGAAGGGTGTATTCATTTTTACTTATGAAAATTGCTATGTCGTGTAAATATAACTTTCTGACGCTGAGGAAAGCTGCATCCTCAAAAAGCTTTTTTGACGGATACGTATATTTTTTTGGTAAATTATTTTCAAAATTTTTTTCTGTACCATTTCAAGTTTTTGAAGATGGGTATTAAGTACACCACCCTAGCTAAGGATACCATATCGCAGTCGTGACTCCACGAGAGCATAGTATAGAGTTTTGAGGGAACGAGTATCTAATATTCTTTTGAAGCATTTGAATCTACACAACAATGGTTTTAGACTTTTAGTTACTTCATCGATATGATGATTCCATCTTAAATGACAATCTATTGTAACCCTTAGATATCGGACTCTTTCTGCTTGTTTGATGGCAATCTGTTGATTGGTTTTTCCCAGTGTGAGTTCCTTGAACTTGGGTAAGTTAGTTCTGTAACTCGAAAAAAGTGTATAAAAAGTTTTGTCAAAATTTACGCTAAGCAACTTATGGTCAAACCAATTGATAATATTCAACAGATCGTTTTCCATTTTTATTTTCAGACTCTCCCAGGTTTCTGCAGTGTATAGAATGGCAGTGTCATCAGCGAAGCTCACAATGTCACCTGTAGTTTCATGGATGGTGAGTAGACTATTCATATATAATTAAAATAGTAGTGGCCCTAGCACTGTACCTTGTGGTACTCCATATTTTATAAATTTCTCTTCGCTGATTCCATTTCCTATTTTTACATACTGTTTGCGGCAACTCAATGATTATAAAATCATTCATTTTATGGTTGGGTAGACAAACTAATATCAAATATTCTTATTTTCTTCAGTCACAGTGATTAACGTGAAGTTTACATGCTTGAAATGATTGATGGAACAGGTGGTAACATTGCCTAGGTTCTGAACAGAAACAGATCCCATGAGCGAAGGATGACATTTCACGTGAGAAAAATTTTGTGGTGATTCAATTAGAAATTTTAATAATCACCAAGCAGACTGGAAACATTCTGCCAGGCGAATTAAGGCAAATTCAGGGCGAAATCAAGGTTGTGTTCTACGTTGTAATTTGGGTCATGGTCGACGTTGTGATTTGGGTCAGATCAAAATCAAGCTGTAGTAGACGTTTTAACCTAAATTGAATAAGAAACAAGGTTGTAATTGAAATTATCAGTAAGAAATAGAAATGAAAGTCAGATTCCAAAGTGAAGATAATCTTTCTACATCTGACTAGACTATCGAAGCATCTAGATCCTACATAACTTCCGATGAAGATTGTTGTAATGCTGGATCATATATCAGAGGAGTGGAAAGAAGAAATTCGTTGTTTTGTTGATAGTTTTTGGATATTACGATCAGGAGTTTCAAGATTCAATGCATATAACCCTGGAGTAAGACCCTATATGTTGTATTAGATATAGGAATAAAATACTTTGTCTAATTTCCACTTACTTAATTTACTGATATTACTCAGTAGTGAATAGTGCTAGAAAACTTGAGAATGGTGTAAAAACCGAAACCTTGGTCGTTCAGATTTAGACAGTGAAAATCCATATTTGGAAAGAACTTCAACAAATTAATGATGAGTTATTCAAATTTTTGAAATACGGCATATTTACAAATTCGAACCGATAGAGTTGAGACCTGAATAAAATTCGTATGCATTCATAATCTAAACCTTAACAAGCGATTGTTCTAAATCGCTATTCAAAACGATGAAATCATGCTAATTTAAAGACAGAAGTGGTCCAAACTTTTCAATTAGTCAGCACCTATACAAAATTTAAAGTATATTTTGGCGAATTCGCCGATATAAAAATTAATCATTTTTAAGTGGTAGTGTTGGTATGCATTGCATATGCAGAGTTATGCCATTTTTTATTATAACCAGATTGTGATGTTTTGTTTGAACCTTTCCATTGAAACATGCTTTTTCAAAATTCCGATTTTACACTGAAAATTTTAGTTACTATCTTTGGAAGGAAAAAATCGATTGACCGTTGGAAAATTGTATTTCATGTAATATTTGTGTATTACGAGTTTCCAAATCTAAAAATGTTGAGAGTTTTTCAAAAGTATAGAAAGAACAGACTAACGAGTCTATCTGGAAAAGTTCTACGCCTAAAAAGACAAAACCAACATCAAATTAGCGAAAAATTTCTCTCTTTCCAAATTTGCCAACAGCAGAATGAAAATAAAAACATTTCATTCGCCGTCAAAGATTATGTGTTTGTATCCATCTAGACCAAGTATTTTTTCCTCACAATTTGTTTACTTGAAGGTGGATTGACTCTGCTGCTTAACATGGCTCTAGGTCGTGATTAGACTTTTGTATCATGTCGTCAATCTCCAATTAACCTGTGATGCACTGTTTGGAACCTCAAACTGATCTTCCTCTT